CCTGCTCACAGGTACTCCGTCTCGTATTCTCCTGCTGCTGACTTCCATACTACTCCAGCACTCCCCATCAGCTTGTCTCACCATGCTCCTTTTCTCTCCTGATGCTCCTCAGCTCTCTCCTTGTTCCTCCTGGATCACTCCCACCCCACCCCTGTGCGCCCTGTTCCAGAACTGTTCTGTGCTCTGGCAGTCTCCCCTCCCCTTGCACTGGCACTCCCCTACTCATCCAGGTTGCCCAGCTCTCCCTCTCCTGCTCTCCCCTGCTGTAGGTCTCCTGGAGCTCCTCTGCTTTCCCTGCTCTTTCCACACTTGTGATTGCCTTGGTTCCTGTGCCCTTGCCTCCTAACACTCACATCGCTCAGCACTCTGTCCACCTCACCTCCTGGGCCCTTCTTCCATCACCTGTTCTCTCATTTCCTCCCTGCCTTGCTTCCTCCCTTCTTCCAGACTCCCTAGGAATGACTCTCCCAGTGGAATGAGAAGATACTCTAGGGCTTAGCCTCAGGGGATGTTAAGAACATAGCTGGGAGTCCCTTGCCAACCAAAAGTGGGACAGGAAGGCAGAGGAAGAAGAGAAAAGGGGGATACTTAGCAAATCTTAGAACAGAACCCCTTCTCATAGCCAGGACAGGGGGATACAATACTGTATCCCCTTACAGTATTGACAAGTACAGAAAGGCTTTGGTAAGGAGAGGTATGGGTATAGAATGAGAAGCAACAAAAGGAAGGAGGAGCTGGCAAGCAGAGTGGTGGAAGGGAGAGATTCTTGCCCTGTGGTTGCCATTAGTTTGCTGTGCAAATCTGAGCAATTCACTTTCCTTCTCTGGGCCTCCAACTCGTTGTTGCAAAACCAGATGGTTCATCCCATGTGTAATATGAAAATGGAGAGGGGAGGGGAAGAAAGAGGGCTTGGATGAGCAGTGGGCTGCAGTAAAGAGTCAGGGATCTTCTGCCTTCTCATAATCTCCCCCAAAGGCAAGGTTCAGTCTCCGGAGGACAGAGCATGGGCAGGTTCTCCCAGGACATTGGCTCTTCTTGGCCACATCTTTCCCTGCCACCTACCCCTCTCATTCACATACTGTCCCCAGCAGCAGACCTTTGTCCCCTCCAGGCTCCCTCTGTGCCTGTCTGCTTCTCCCCACTCTTTCCTTGTCTGGTGCCTTCCCCAAATATCCTTTCTTATTCCTTAAAGGAGAACACAGAGTGCAGGCTTCTCTTCTATCCAAGCTCCCCTTGCCATGGCCTCCTTCCCTTTCCCCCAAGAGCAGAACTCCCCTTAGAGTGTTCCCATTCCTGGTGCTCACTCATCAGGGAGTGAATTGAATTCTTGTGGATGTGTAACATGCAATCTAAGTAGAAAGAGTGTTCTCTAAAGAGGAAGGCCTGCAAGGCCTCCTACCCCATCCACATAATACCACATTTGATTCTTTTCTCAATTTTATGAAAAAACTGTACAGAAGCCAGTTCGAGGACTTGGAATTCTTGGTGATATGGAACATGCATT